GGCCCCGCCCCCACCCCCCTCTGGGCCTGCTCCATCCTGGCTGCCCCCTCCCTGAGTTGCGCCCCCTGCCAGCCGCTTGCCTTGCCCTCCTGAAGCTTGAGCTCAGTCTGGCCACACGAGTAGGTTCGCTGTAGAACCTTTGCCAAGGGCGAAAGTGCCAGATCCTCCTCGGTTTAGGGGAGGAAAATGTTACCTTTAGGCCCGCTGAGGAAAACCTTGCCATCCACCCTGTCCTGCCATGCAGTTTGGCTTGAAAGCAGACTGTAGGAGCCTATTTTGCCTTCCTTCATTGGGTCAAGAGTTTCACAAAAACCCAAGGCAAAGCCCAGTAGTCAGCTGGATTTCCGCGGTGCACGCTCTGATTAATCCCTGTCCCGAAAGGCAGTGCTGTCCTCCACAGAGCAGTCTGTGGAATGACGCTTACTCCTGGGTGGTTTTAGCACCCCACTGAGCCAAAAATGACAAAAGGATTTCCTTAGTCATCCCCAGTCCACTCTGACCAGCAGGATCTTCCTTTAGACCTGACAGCAAAACATCTATCTGTGCGCATCCTCTGAATTTTCCTTTTATGAAGGACGTGCTTGGTTGTTTCCTGCCGCGTATCGTCAGCACCAGGGCCCCATGACTGAGTTTAGTGGGCTGCTCTAACTGCCTCCCCCATAGCCGCTGGATGCTGTTCTTAGATAACTCACGTGCTCATTGGTCACCATCCACTGTCCCCATTTGTGATGAGCAGCCATCTTGTGGAAGATGAGGGCCTGGGGGTGGGGGGCCACTTCCTCAGCCGTTTCTATAAAGCTGTAGTCGTGAAGTCTTTCCCGCTTACGGACCCTTGAGATTTTGAGGGAGGTGGTAGACTGGGGATGGGCAGACTGCAGCCCGAGTGCCAGATCTGGAGTGCCACCAATTTTCATAAAGTTTTATTGGAATACAGCCAGGCTCCTTTGTTTACGTATTGTCCGTGGCTGGTCTTGCCCTAAAACAGCAGAGTTAAGTCCTTACAATAGAGACCTATGGCCCTTGAAGCTTAAATACCTATTACCTGGCCCTTTACAGAAGAGTTTGCGGAGTCCCACCATACACCCTTGCCCTAGGACACGTGTTTTGGCGACAGTCTCAGAGGATGGCGGGAGCCCAGACTAGGAGCCATTCCCCCACCTCGTCGTCTGTAAACGTTTATCCTGGTGCAAAGTACAGCACTGAAAGCAAGCCTTTGAGAAGGGTTTTACCTTCTCTTTCAGAAGCCTCCTCCCCTGCTTCGTTGCCAACAGATTGTCCCGCTCACTGCAAGGACAGGGTCCCCTCGTCTCTGGTTCCCAGGGAGGGACACTCGGGGCAGGGCAGGGCAGGTGGGGAGCTTAAATAGCAAGGTCTGGGGGTGGGCGCTGGCTGAGCCCCCCGGGCAGTGCCTTCCTCGAAGAGCTGTAGCTCCTTCCAGGTCCACATTCTGGAGCACGGAGGGAGACAGAGACGGCAGGCCGTACCCAGCCTTCTTCTTCCTAGTCCAAGAGGCTGTGAGCTGCCTCTGCCTTCCTGGTTGAGCTCTGCTCCTCCTTCCTGATCCTCCACCCGGGGAGCTCTGCTGAGATAGCACCTGTCCCCTGCCCCACCCATTCTAGGTCATTCCTCTAGTTGGCTCTCACCTCCCGGTAACTCAGGCGAGCCTTGGGGCAGAGGCTGTGTTAGTCCTGGCCCTGCCTGGGCCTGACCTGTGGTAGGAGCCTGATAAATACTTCCCAGGGCTCACCAAGGTCTCTTCCCTGCCATCCCTACCCCAGCATCACGCAGGCCTCGGAACAGGGGTCATCGAGGGAGGGTGGAGACTGGATTTGCTGTGACCACTCCCTGACCCCATCCTCGAAAGGGTCCCATTTGTCTGCTCTGCATTTGGAACCCAGACCTTCTTGCTGGGTCTTAGCGGTGGGGCACGTAGCGCACCTGGCCGCATCACACCCCGTAGCCCCTCTGAACGCGAGACTCCTCCTTGCAGCGGTCTGCCTGCCCAACCAGTTCCGCTGTGCCAGCGGCCAGTGCGTCCTCATCAAGCAGCAGTGTGATTCCTTCCCCGACTGCATCGACGGCTCCGATGAGCTCCTGTGCGGTGAGCCAGCTCCCCGTCGAGGGTTCACCCCGGGCCAGTGTCGGGACTAGGAGGAGAAATATGCTGGGGGCCGAACGAAGAGGCCAGAAGGTTGGGAGTACTGGGCCTTGGGGGCAGGCAGGCAGGGAAGCCTTCCGGGAAGAAGAGGCAGTGGTGAGGCTGAGCTGAGAGGGGGACGGGGGCTGTGGGCCCTGGGGTATTTCTGGCTGTGCCAGAGACAGGCGCCCTGCGGACCTGCGGCGGACGGGGCCTGAGAGGGGCGCTTCTGCCCACTAGGACGTCACGCAGCAGCATCTCTCAGGCCGCGAAACCACTCTGATGGGGTCGGGGTGGCCCTTCCCCCGGCCGCCTGTTCTCTGGCTGAGGAGGTGCAGAGTCCACATGCACACACATGCTCCACGCCTCTTGAGTGATGCGGCCTGTATAGTCGGGGATACGGGGGCCACGGGATGTGAGGCCAGGGCAGTCAGGGAGGGCTCCCTGGAGGTGGTGGCTCTTGAAAGGCTGTGACAGGAAGGGAGCTGGAGCCCCAGACAGGAAGTGGGAATGTGCGCACATGTCTGGGGACACGGGCTCTCCACTTACTGTAGAGGTACCTAGGCTGAGAGCTGATTGCAGGAGAGAGGTGTTGTGAGCGGGGAAGGAGGAGGGGTCCCCAAACACTTTTGTACCCTCACATGAAGCCAGGTGAGGCACCTCGGTTACCATCTCAAGAAAGTGAGTAACTTGGGGCCAGAGGACAGAGATGGGGGCAACCGGGGATCTGAGCCCCCGCCCACTGGCTGGGCAGGTGTCAGTCTGACGGTGTCTCCAGCCTCTGGCGTGACGCTGGTTCCCCTGTCAGGGGTGACGTTCATCCGTAGTCTGGTCCTGTCGCCCGAACCAGCACTTTCCTCCTTCCCTTTGGGTTTTGGCTGGCAGGAGGGACATAGTGGGTTGCCTTTGGAATCCTTGGGCCAGCCTGATGAGCAAGTGAATGTCCCTTTGTCAAAGTTGAGTTTAGAGCCTCCGTGGCCCCCCCGCCCCCTGCTGAGGCTTTGACAGCAGAGCCAGCCCCAGGAGTCCCCCCACCTGGCCGTTGCACTGGCAGGGACCCCAGAAAGACTCCTGGGCACCTTGCAGCCCTGAGTGGGCTCTGGCTTTGCAGCTTTGGCAGAGCCCCCATGCCCAGGCTTTGTCACACTCCGCCCCTCACGCCACCCTCACGTCGGGCCTCTGTGCCGGGCCGGCATGTGGGGCTCAGCGCATGCCTCCAGCCCTGGGTGTGTTGTCGGCCCAGCGTAGCCCCTGTACGTGGGTGATGTCCCCCGCTAGACAGGCCTGCAGCCCCCAGGCCCAGCTGCCTGGGGCCCGTGACTCACAGGACCTCCAGCGCACACGCTTTCAGCCTCCACGGAGAGCCCCAGACGCAGACGGATCGGAGGCTGCTGTAGGGGGTTGCTGTTGAGGGATTGTTGGAAAGTAGGTAGAGCTTAGCCAGCCAGGTGGGGAGCGGGACGAGAGAGGAAGGGGGGAGCGAGGAGGAGAGAGGAGGGTGCTCCAGGCAGGCCGGCGGGGGGCGGGCAGCATGTCGGTGGCACTGAGATGAGCCTGGCGCCCCAGCACCCCAGCGTCTCCCTCCCCCCTCCCCGCCGCCACCGCTGGGCGCTGTGCTGAACCGGCCCCTCCGGGGCACGCGGGCTCCACCCCTGCAGGAGGGCCCGAGCCTTCACGGTTAATGTCCCCCCTCTCTCCCTGTCCGTTCTCTGACAGAGATCACCAAGCCGCCCTCCGACGACAGCCCGGCCCACAGCAGCGCCATCGGGCCGGTCATCGGCATCATCCTGTCCCTCTTTGTCATGGGCGGGGTCTACTTTGTCTGCCAGCGCGTGGTGTGTCAGCGCTACGCGGGGGCCAACGGGCCCTTCCCGCATGAGTACGTCAGTGGGACCCCCCATGTGCCCCTCAATTTCATAGCCCCGGGCAGCTCACAGCACGGTCCCTTCACAGGTAAGACACTGCCGTGGGCCAGGGCCCTGGGCAGAGGTGGGGTGAGTCGCCGGGGCAGGGTGTGGGGTGAGTGAGTGAGACGCACGCTGGGGGTGGGCAGAGGGGCCGGTGGGGGCAGGGACAGGACAGGACTCGCCCCCCCC